CTATATTCATTCAACAACATTCTTAAGCCTCTTCCATACGTCGGGCGCTCATATTTTGATATAGGTATATTTTAATTACCTAATTTCCTTAATTCAAGCTCAATTTAATATTTAAACAGTTGGCCAACCTCCTAAATTTCATTTAAAATAAGGTCTTTTCAAAGCCATTTCCATTGATGGCCATATTGTAATTGTGCAATTAACTAAAACAATTATTTGCAGTGAATTTAATATTTTAACAGATGGCAACCCTTAAAAAATATTTTGAATATTCCAAAAATAGATTCCTTAACACTCTTTTGTTTAAATACTTCATATAACTTGCGTATAGTTTGTTTAAATTCCACTTTTCAAACAGGTAGCAACTAGAGCTCTAGATACCCGGGTATCGAGCAATGCGAGTAGCTCGATACTCGCTCGAAACTCGTTCATTGCTCAACTGCTCAAATATTTGTTCAAAATTTTTGAGTTTTTGAACAGTTTCATAAACAAAAGAAAATTTGTAAATTGTATTTGTCAGCAGCTGCTTTCTATTTCATGTTAAATAAATTATATTATTAAATACCAATGTAACAATCTTTGCATTATATATCAATAATTTGAAAATTTTAAAAAGTTGCTACCAAGGCACATTAAACAGGTAGTATCAGTAGAGTAAAAACAACATTTGCGTGTATTTTGTTGTTGCTTCTGGTATCGAAAGTGTCAAAAACTGTTCTGAATTTTTTCTTCTAAATCAAAGCGTGCCATGTGAAATACAAAAAATTATAAAAAATAAAAAATTGAAATTGGAAAAAATAAAAATTGATGCAACTTTCTTTCCTAGTAAATTTGTTTGCTTCTCGAAGCATTGATCCATCCTTTNGAAGTTAGCCTCCCAAAATCGAGATATGGGCCTTTGAAGTTCGAAATAGGATCTTTGGTAAAAAATTATTTTTTATTATTATATGTAAATAACTAAAAAACTAAAAATACAGACCTAGATGCCCTTTTGCTCTTATTGAAATGGTTTATAAGTTTTTTTTTGCAAACATGTATTACAGGTGCTATAAGGGGGCAAAGGTCGGGTCTTCGAAAAATTAAAAGCCTTATATTTCAAACAATTTTGAACTGATTTTTAAAAAGTTGGTAGTTGTAAACGTTATAAGGACCCCTTCTTCTCTTCTGATATGCATATTTGTATAATTTGCTTGTAAAATTTTGAAGAAAACATTTAAAAGGAAAAAATGTCTTTTTATAAAAAAATTTTAAACAAACAAATTACTAACACTTGAAAGCAAAACATACCCAATTTAATAAAGAAAAATATTTTAAACAAAAAAAATACTAAGCGATTTTTAGAAAATTGGTATCGTTGTAAAGGCTATAAAACCTATACTTAAACCGAAAAATTTCGTTTTGTATACACAAAAAAAATATAATTAGAAATATTTTTTCCCTCTATATAAACTCCTGCCCCCTAGACGAAAAGCTGGCTACGCCCTTCTATACAAAACAATTAAAGTATTTCAACCGTAGATATATCATACAGTCAGTTTGTTCTTTTAGAGCGCATACATGGTTCCAAAATAATGATTCCAGTATCTTCATTTATGTATATTGTAACTATCAATATCCTATAAAGAGAAGTGTAATTTTTTGTTATCTAAAACTAATAAAGTTAGAAGGACGAAATTCAAGGATGTGGTAGTTAACATATTAGTCCTTAGCATATATATTTTTTTTCAAAAATAAATATTGCAAATCTCCAAGGATATTCAAGGATAAAGTTTTAAAAGGACATTTTCAATACTTATTCATCCTGGTGCACCCAAAAATTAATTTTTTTTAATTCTACAGAATTTTTCCTTTTAATTGATAACCATATTGTTATTCTACAATGCACAATTTTGTTAATAAATCATAATAAATCAGTATTTATTGTAGTATTTTTGTTTGTTTTTGGTTAAAATACAGATACAATTTTATTTATTTCGTTCATGTTCAGTTTTACATGGAATAATAAATGTAGAAGTGAAGAAATAATTTGTTTAGTTTGTTTGCTTAATATTGCCCCACTGGATTCTTTAATGCGGTTTTTTAGAATTTTTTACGTGAAGTATCTGAATTTATGCGATTTTTGAAAATGCTGGAACGCATGCCCGGTTTTTGAAGCACTTTTTTATGCGGATTTTTTATGCGTCTTTCTGAGGAACGCATATACCGCATACAAAGACCTAAGGTATATATAATTTAGACGCATAAATTAATAATTTTATTTTATTATTATAAGAAGTTCTTTTTGATACACTCAAATTTAATGATTTAATTTTCAAGAAATTGAGCGTTTCAATTCAATACCTTTCACAACGATAGTACTATCGATACTATCGATGTTTTCAACTATCGTTTCGAATGCTATAGAGTGGCGATCGATAGTATCCCAGCTCTAATGGGAGGTGCCACACCTAAATCTGTAATAACGCCCATTTCGCTCCTTGAGTTAGGTATTGATGGCAAATTTCTTTTTAGTTTCACTTTTATTTCAACATATTTTGATTAAAAGAAAAATACTGATAAAAATAAAATTTTTCATAAAAACAGGGTTGAAATCTTGAAATTCCTGCCCGTAGTTTGTTTGTAAGTCAAATATGAGTGGCATTGTGCTACATAAATATCACAGAAGAGTAATCATAGCCAATTTATGTACAGTAGTCGAAAAAATTATAGCCGCACCAAATTTTTACAAGTTTTAAATTATTATTTTTGTTGTTATTTAATTTCGGTTAGTTTTTTATAGTTCGTTCTTTACCAACATTCGTATAAATACAAGTTTTTTACATAGCGCTTTTGCAAGTGGACTGCTCAAATTTGGAAACATGAATTTCCACAGGTTTTGTTAAAGAACGAACTATATTTTTTTTAAATATAACAAAAGTTCAATAACAACAAATATAATACGTTAAAATTATAATTTGTCACATTGTACATAAAGGAAGTACCATGATAAAAACATAGCAAGGTATAACCGTTCTCTCAATTTGTCGGCCATGATTTTTTTTGAAGTTTGCCAACNGAGTTTGTGAGTAAATTTAAAAATTAAATTGTTTGGAAACGTCAAGAATCTTAAAAGTGACTCTCAGCGGTTCTACCTTACTATATTTTTATCATGGGAAGTACATAACAAAATTAAAAAAAATATGTGCCTTTTTTTGAAGTTCGTTTTACCTTTTTCAAGTTTAAGTGCCTTAAAAACCTACATTTCTACATTCCCGGATGATGTTATTCCCGGAGAGAATATCTGCCCCGGTAAATACAGGCTTCTAATACCAAGTATAATATGTGAAATTCTAAAATTCAAAGCCGCCATAAATGTCTGCCATTATTATTTTCGAATAATAGTAACATTGAATGTTAAAATTCTACCCTTGCTACCTGTGTGGTGCCGCATGGACCGCTGTTGCGCTTTGTTAGTCTCTCTTCCAAGTAGAGGAGGTATTAACGATCGACTGAACATGTGTTTTGGTAAATTAAATGTAGTCTGCTATTCATAGGCTCTTAGACTATTAGTAAGGATATTTGTTATAAGTATCAAATGTGTTTTTTCAATGTTGTTAATCGCTTAGAAATATCTTTTTAAATTTTTTATATACTTCTTAGGAGCGAATTCACAGTGCGTAGTGAAACAATTGTTAGCTAAACTACAAACAAGTTTAACTATGAATTTATATTCGCGGTCACATAGTTGACTAGTGAAATTTGTTTCCCATGAAATAATTGTGAAAAACGACTCATCAACCGTTTATAGCGGGCTTGGGGATACCTATTTCCAAACAATTTCTATAGATATTGACCAAACTGTATTTGCATCGACTGGTTAGAAAAATTCTATACATTCGTTTATTTCAAAGAAAAATTTGCAATTTAAAACTTTGTAATTCCAAGTTAAAGGCCGACTAACGCCTCTTTTAGAAATCGGCGTCGGTTTCCTAAAATTTTTAGGAGTTCTTGCATTTTTGTTAGACTTTTCGAATGAAGCTCAAATGTATTAAATTTGAAAATAACTAAAAATAAACAAACGTCCTAGAAACGCTTGCTTGTGTATCAATATATAATAACAATTGCAACAAAATTTCATAAGCCTTATGGTATTTTATTGTAATTATTTGATATGCAAGCAAGTGTGAATTGGCGTTATCTCTGATATTTTTTTTAAAGAGAAATGAAAATTTATTTTCACAATAACGAAAAAAAAAACTTAAATCGATTCATTGACAAGCATAGAACTGATTCAAATTCATTATTTGAATGCTGGCTTGGACCAAGCATTTTACAAAAAAAAAGTATGGTAAACAAATATAATTTTGTAATTATAACAACAACATAATCAAACTGATTATCACACAATATTTTGAAGCATAATAAACGATATACATATGTAACTAAATAACAAAACAGCAACTTATAAGGGCAAGACATAAAGTTGGGAAGCAAACATCTGCATAAAAATATAATATAATATAAATAAATAAACTAGTTTACTAATCTTTGAAATTGTGTTGGAAAATTTTCAATTTTCAATACTAAAGTGAAAAATGATTTTTCCACCACTCAAACAAAGTACACTCTCTAGAAAAATAATTATCTTACGATAGCTTATTTACAAATAAGATATGCCTAAATATTTTTTAATGGCAAACTACAAATAACTATAGTACATTTGCTAACCTAATTAGAAATAACTCGTTTCTAAAAAATAGCAGGTCTTATAGGTAGATGCCCTAACTAATTTACGGCAAAAATAAAGAAACTATAAATAAACAGTTCAGCTTTTAGAAAGCACACATAGGAGCTCAAATTAAGACTACAAATAGTTGATATGTTACATGAGTAATGTATGTCTGTATGTATGTATGTTTGTATATACATATGTACAAGTCCGTAATTTGCCGCTCACTTTCTAAAATCTAAAATATTTTATAGTACTTAATTTTGCAACTCAACTCATGTGAGTGCCTCAATGCGTGTGAGCATTTTTAAAGATTGTGCCTAAAAATTAAGAATATTTACAAAAATATTTTTATGCAGCCTAAAAGTAGAATTAACAAAAAATATAGAACTTTTAACAAAAGGAAAGAAAATTACTGGGAGATAGGAATTAAACTAATTTACACATTATTCAATTGGATATACATATGTACGATTGTGTGTGAGATAAGCTAGGCTAACTAGCAACTTAAAGATTCAATTGAATTTCGTGCTTAACACTAACAAAACACTGCTTAAAATATAGATTGCTGCTGATTTTGTTGTTGGTGTTGCAATTGTTCGTGTTGTTGCTGCTGGTTCATTTGAAACATTGACTGTGGCGATGCTCGATGTTGTTGCTGTTGCTGTTGCTGTTGCTGCATCTGATGCAAACGGTGCAAATGTGAATTGTTTTGATGCTGATGCGCATGCTCAAATTGTTGATAGCCATTATTCAAGTGGTTTTGATGAGCATGTTGCTGTTGCTGCAGTTGTTGTTGTTGCTGCATCTGCTGTTGTTGGGATGCATGTTGTGACTGCAAATTTGGTTGCTGTTGGGGCTGAGAGCTTGAGTTTATGGATGACAACGATGCAGAGGAGGAACTAGGCCCGATTCCAACTAACATTTGTGATTTTGAATTTCTCGTTAGTGGCTTGTGATTTTTAACGCCATCGGAGTAATGCTGCCATTGCCAGCACGATCGACAGAAATATCTAAAATACGTAATACAATGTTTATTATAAACGTATGTGTAATATGTAAGCTAGTCGCTGCAATAAGATTTTGGAGCTAGTAAATATTTCGTCGATATATTAATTCTTTTTAAGTAGAAGTTATTCAGATAAAAAAGAATCCCTTCTGGTAGGAGTTAAGGGTTTAAAATAGTCTACAAAAAAATCACAACCTAAAGCTCTCTGAAGACAATATACACAAAGCTGTGTGGTAGATATTAACCAAAATATTTTTTCATTTAACGCGTATGTCATTATGGCTGAAATATGTGTGTGCATGTACACTATACAGGGCGGGTCAATTTACTTTGACTATGCGCGTATAGCATAGGAGGATTCTAAGCAAATTTTGCGAAGAAATCATTGGTCTAAAATCAATTTGGAGTTTGGCAAATTGCAAAAATAGGTTTCGAAGACAATTTTAAAATTTTCCCTGTTGTGCCCCCTGGTGGAAGTTTCAAGGAAAGGAAAGTGCAGAAAACGATTCTTACAAAAAAAAAAAAAACACCTAAATCATGTTTTTATACAAAATTTAAGCGCTTCCTTACGACACTACAGCCAAATGCTAATAAACCTATTTTCGTAATTTGGCCAACTCTAAATCGATTTTTTAGCCATAGTTTCATCGGCAAATTTTCTTAGACTTCCACGTAGAATTCTTATGTGCTATGTGCGCTTAGTCGAAAAAATCTGCAATATAAATTGACCCGCCCTAATGCACATTGGTCAAAATAATTATTAGTACAGTGATTTGTTTTACAATATTCGCAATTTTTTGCATACTATTTTTTTTTCGTTAATTTTTCACGCAAATATATGTAAATACATAGTTCCTATTTTGATAACTTTCTACAAAACTTTAAATAATTCAAAAACTGTTCATAAAAATTTTGATTAAGAATTTTGAGAAACAAAATAAAGTAATACATAATATCATGATAAAAATATAGTAAGGTAGAACCGCTGAGAGTCACTTTTAAAATTCTTGACGTTTCCAAACAATTTATTTTTAAATTTACTCACAAACTCACACACACATTTTCATTTTCAATCTCAAGCAACAACAATTTCGAACAATTTCATTTTTTTATTTTCACTTTTATATGATTTTAAAATGTTGGCAAACTTCAAAAAAAAATCATGGCCGACAAATGGAGAGAACGGTTATACCTTGCTATGTTTTTATCATGCATAATATATAATAATAAAAGTAAATAAATTTATTGAATATTGTAAAATAAATCACCGTGCGAATAATTATTTTGACCGCGAGTTATACCGTTCAAATATTCTCCGCAAAGATCCGGCTAAATTCAAGCCTGGATTGTATTTAATCGCATTTTGATGTAGCACAAGAAGTGAAAACACACATTTTAAATTATTTTAAAGTTCATTGCATGCTGTTCCTTGACCCAAAAATTGAAATCAGACCATTCAAATGGCCTCTTCAAGAGTAATATTTTTGATTTTTTTCTTTTTTTACCTAAAAGCTGCATGCAACGAATTTTATAAAAAAAAATAATTTGAATGTGTTTTATGGCTACTCCGACAATGAAAATGAATTCCTTGACACAAGTTCATAGCATACTGTTTTCAGGTAAAAAACTTCTGTTTCTGAAGGTAATTTTAAAGGTTACTCTAAAATTTCGAGATATTAGATTTTGCCAAAAAAAAAATTATTTTCCATATTGAGCCCCATATAAAACATGGCAAAAAGTGCTCCGATTTTACTGTATTGGTTATCTGTGATATTTATTTTTAGGAATGAAGAAATCTGAAAAATCTCATAGAACTGCCACGGCTACTACACTAGAGGCGCAAATGATAAACATAATCCGATTCTAATGAAACTCGGTTTGTATCTTGTTTTAATCAGAAAAACTTAAATCTGTGAGATTGTTAAATCGGCGAACTGATACGACTACCAGTTCTAAAAATATCCATTTATAAAAATCAAATTTTATTAAAATCGGACAACATCTACCATACCTGCTCTTTAATGTAGTAGGAGAGGGTATTTTTTGTACTTCTTTTTTCCTAGGCAAAGTTACTACTTTTGGCAAATTTCAGTGAAATTCCGTTGATTTTTGGCAATTTTTTTGCTGTCAGTGTCCTCCATATAAAAGAAAATTGTCGACATACTTTGTATGGAAAAAACCTGAAACACCTTTAACCAAAAAAATTCTCAAAAATCAACGGAATTTTTTGCCGCTTGAAACTTGCACTTCTTCAGACTAGAATTGAATGTGCTACAAAACTGCATACCAGAATTTTTTCTAAAGATTCTGATTAAAAAGTTTGAAATTTGGGTGAAAAATTGCACAATTTTTATAATTTTTATACAAAGTTTAAAATCTGAATTTATATGGTGTTTGTTGTATAGCCAGCTAGGCTTTTATAAAAAAATTATAAACATTAAATAAATAAAAGACAAATAGCCAAAACTGGTCAAAATATCGCACTCCTATTATTTTGTGGACAACTGTATATTAGGGTGGTCCAAAATAGGTAAAGTCGGAATTTTAATGCTCTCACCCCCTAGGATTGTTCTGTGGTTCTTTTCAGAAGACTTCCGGTAACAATATTCAATTGTTTATTTAACCATTTTTTAAAGTACAGATTTTTTATTTATCCCCCAATTGCATTTTCTGGAATTTTCTTAGAGTTTTGGTGGACCTTCAAAATATAGTTGCTATGAAAAAATAGTTAAATAAATAATTGGGTATTGTTATTGCTGATATCCTGAAGATAAACAGGGGTTTCCGATCGAAAAATATTGATTTTCTAGAATTCTTTGAGAAAACTTTGAGCGCTTTGAGCGACCTCTAAATATTTTTTGATTTCAAAATATAAAATAGGGGTATATTGTTTTCGTTATAGAACCATCCTAGGGGGTGAGATCATGAAAATTCCGACTTTACTATTTCACATGCATTTTTGGAACAAAGCATAAAAAATTTAAATTTATTAAATTTTCTTAAGTAGTAGTTACATTAAAACTTTAAAAAGAGTTTTGTTTTGATTTTTGTGTGCCAGTGAATCGATAACAAAGCGATGTTTGCCACGCTATTTGCTAAATGCACTTAAGGCGCACAAACTTTGTCGTCTGCTAAGTGCAGAAAATATTGGTTGTATTTACTGTGCTAATGTTTGTTCTTTGTCACATTTTTTATTTTTAATTTTTGATTACTTAAAAATTCGAATTTTTATGATTTCTATGATTTTACGAAAGAGTTATTGACCTGATTCAATAGACAGATACAGACCATATGCATCGATGTATGCCCGCCGATGTATCGACAAGTAATATATCGATGTATTTTTGTCACTGACATCCCTAGATCCAACCAAACAACAGCTCAAAAAACAATTTTTATTAACAGTTTTCTCATTGAAATGTTGATATGAATTTGCTAATTCCAAATTGTACTTACCTAAAGCAGGAGAGTTCACGACAAAAGTACGGCCCGTGCTGCACACCACAGATGGAGCAGAGTGAATCTTCCAAATATGGATCTACCTGCACTTTTTTAGTGAATTTAGATGTGCGTATTTCAATGAAAGCTGCCGACACCGCCTTCATGTAGGAGCGATTGTTGTTGAAAGTAACACGTCCGGAACCAATTGGATATTTGTATTTATCGGTGTCGATACCTGAAAGAAGGAGCATATAAAATTACACTGTAGGGAAAATCTGAAGTTTGGGAATGACACAAAAAACGCTGAGATACGTAAACTTAATTTTGGGCCGTAAATTATGGATCTGTATACCGTTTTTCCAGATCAGGTCATTTCCCAAGATATTTTTATTTTTAGGAAAAAAAAATCAAGATACTAAAAAAGAAAATGGATGGATAAATAAGCATGCTGTGAACGGTGAAATGAAAATTTGCAATAATTTTTTGTATGAAATAGGAGCAGGAAATAATGTTACTCACACGTCATAGCTTACATGATTGTACTCGTACATGGCGTATGAGTAACATTTTCCATTAAGGTTTGAATTTTTTTTCATCCGCAATGCAAACGATTGCGTAACTAAAATATTTTGGGAAAATGACCTTATCTAGAAAACCGGTACAGATAACCGTAATATGCGACCCAAAATTAGGTTTAAGTGCCACGCCATTTTTTTTTGTGTCAATGAGTAAAAAGTGTACAGAATGTATGTTTAGTCGTTGAGGCAGTATCGAACGATACCGTAGAAACTATTCTAGTACCAGCATTCGTTAACCGAGTCAAAATTCCACATCTTAGGAACAGTCTGTGTATTAACGATCGAGCTATAGTTGAAATAACCTATCCAACGTCGGAATTGTTTATCAGAGTTCAGTATTACTAAGTAAGGGTCCTTTTTTCTACTATCTTCCCTAAAGTTCTTACTTGAGGAAATTTAGTCAGGCATGAGCATTGCATAGAGAACTACCGGCTAATTTCTTACTTTCTATAGATACCCGAGCACATTTATCCTTAAAAGGTGATATAACTTTGTTTGCATAAACGTTTATAAAAACAAGTAAAGAAGTATAAGTTCGGGCGAAATCGAATTTTATATACCCGGCGCAGGTACCAACTATTGTCGTTTCAACTTTCTTTAAACTACCTAAAAGTCTATGGCAGTCTTACTTATTGTTAAGTGATTATTGTAAGTATTAACTTGGAGTAAACTAACGACGTCAGTTATTGATATATAGGAGTTTTCGTATATCCGAGAATTACCCTTATGCAAGTTTAGACCGATTTGAATAATTTTCAACGATTTGCTTTTTCGTGCCAAGGTTATTAAATACACCAAGTTTGGTAAAAATTTATAAAGCGGTTACCGAGATACAAACGCCACTCCCAAAATCCAAAAATTTATAACAGTCTAATTTTTTGCTCAGTGGTCATTGCAATAATCGATTATGATTTATTGCAGTTTTCGTGTTTCTGTTATCGTTATATGGGAGGTGGGCGTGGCTATTGCCCGATTTCAATGATTTTCAGCAAATTTCTTTGCTTCATCTAAAGCAATGCTCCTACCGAGTTGGGTAAGGATTGGTGAAGCGGCTACTAAGATACAGTATTTCATCATAAGTGNACTAGTAGTTTGAATTCTTCCTTTTTTCATGTAAGCAACTAACTTTATTAACAAGGCGATGTCGTAAAACCAAGCTAATTATCCGACGCTGCATATGTTCCAACTACTTTAAAATTCACAAGCTGCACAAATAATTTGTTTCCAACTACTTTGTCAATTGATTAATTTCTGAGATAAGTCAGTTATTTTCGACAGGGTAATTTTCAACAATTTGGATCAAATATTCACTGAAATATAGTATAGTTTTACAGTCCGATTTTCAATAGCAACCAACCTATATACCAAATTTCGTTGAGATATCTAAATTTTTGCTCGNTCTACATACTAATTTTCAACAATTTGGATCAAATATTTACTGAAATATAGTATAGTTTTTGCATTTTTCGAAAATATCGTTATATGAGAAGGGGGCGTGGTTACAGTCCGATTTTCAATAGCAACCTACCTTGGATAAAGGGCAACCAACCTATATACCAAATTTCGTTGAGATATCTAAATTTTTGCTCGAGTTATCGTGTACACGGACAGACGGACGGACGGACAGACAGACATTACTTAATCGACTTATCTTTTCATTCTGATCATTTATGTATACATTTGTCTATATCTATCTCGACTCCTTTAGGCTGTTACAAACAACCGTTATGCGAACAAACCCTGTGCACAAGTGCGCTCGGGTATACAAATTTGGAATGAAGAGTGAGATCTGTATGTCCGTCCGCGCATACGAAAACTCGAGTCAAAATTGAAATATCTAAATGAAATGGATGGTAGACTCGAGGATTGCTATTTATGTATATTTCTACCCTAACAAAAGAAAAATCTAAATGGGTGATTGAAAACGCTTTTATTGTTTTTCAAAATATTCCCTAAGTTGATAAATACACTTTTGCATTCGTTTCAGCATTTAACATATTTTTGTGGCACAACAAATGATTATGGACGACCTTCACGGAATTCGTCGGTGAGCGCACAGCGATCACGAGAAAATTCATTTACTAGTTGTTTATGGAAAAAAAGCATGTTGCTTGCTAGCCGTACAGTGATTTTAGTTCATCAATTCTTTTTTGTCTTGTTAATCCAACTCGAGAATTTTTAAAAAATTATCGCACGAAAATATTCACGGTTTAATTCCATTTTTTGCCCAGATGTATTTTTAAAGCCATTGTTATACTAATAAATATGGCTCACATATCAAAATCGTTATGAGTGCGGTTATGGTAAAACATGTCAAACTTACCAATGGAAACGTCAGATGGCGCCTGATAACACTAGAAGTGTTTAAGACCAGAAATATATATAGCAACCCAGCAGGCTTCAAAATAACATTTGCTCGTGATCAAATTCAGAAAAAGCTATTTGACAATGTTTTTAAAAAGGACTGTACAAAAACAAAATTGGTATATTGCTTTGAAATTCCAAAATTATTTTCAGTACGAAATCAGAAAAATCTTTGGGAATCTTGTTTGATTCAGGTAAAGCATTAAATATGGGTTTAATGCAAATATAGGGTGTAATTTTAACCCAAAGTCTCCATAACTATTTTTTCGGATTTTTCTCAAGATTTTTGGTTTACGGAGTCAATTCTTATCAACTATCAATAAACGCTTCCGCTTTTAGCGAGAATAAGATTATCAGAATCCGTTGAAATTTGCCCAATTTATGGGTTGTTTTGTCCCAATATCCCGATTTTAAATTTTTTGAACACAAGATTTTGGGGTATATTTTTCTGCTAAGACCAAAATTCTTGGCTTAAAAAGGACATGCAATAATTTTTTTGTAGCTCCGTGTAATCTATGGCCGGAATTATGCACATAAATAAATTTAGCCCGTTTAAATATTCTAAACCCGACTGTGGGGAGCACGCTAAATTAGTCCTTAACATATAATTTTTTGAAAAAAATTGCAAATTTTCAAGGATATTCAAGGAAAATTTTTTTAAATTCATTTCTTGAGTTAATCATATCAAGGAGAAAAACTAATCACGCAGTTTTTCTATATTTTGCACATAGTTTCGCAAATATATTATTTTTTTTTTGTAGTAAAATTTAATGGCGCACAGTGATATAAGCCCTCGATATGTATTTTTGATTTTTGATCGTTTGGCGATCAGGTCCAATAATAAGTGATAATTGTGTTGTACATCATTTCATAAAGTTCTTAACAATGTTCGTATCCTTACCTGCATACAGAACACCATCGAAGAGGTCATCCATAATTTTCGCCAAACCCTCTGCAGTAAGTTTGCCATGCAATGCACCCACAAATACGGTCTTAGTTGGATCCAGTTTCTGTGAAGTTGATTTGACAAAGTTGGAATCAGCTATAATCCAAGGGATGACTTCAACCTTTAATATAATATTTAATGAAATTATTTATAAACATGCGCGTAAAAATAGTTAGATGCCGACTGATTAAAACCCTTACATCTTTCGCTTTGATACGGCGTGACGAAATCTTGAAATAGTAAATGCCACCACTCTGTGAATCATCGATTTGCAAGACACAAGCTGACAACAAAGCTTTCACCTGCTTGTCCGATTCGAATATGATGTAGACATAGCCTTTTGGTTGTGCCGCCTGCTGCTCTTTGCCGGGCCATTCGACTCTGAAAGTATGCAAAAATATATTCCTCAGTATTGCTACACAAAATGCAGTGAAATCCATCTCATGTATTTACTTGATCTGTCCGAACGGCTTGAATATTTGTATAAGCGATTGTTCGCTTATGTCCCAGGGTATGCCGCCAAGAAACACTTTCGGTGAATAGTTTAACATGCGATGTGAGCGCGGTGGCAACTGGCCACTCCAGGTGCAAGTGGCGTCATAGAGTGCAGCCGAACTGCGATAAAATTTTGCTACGCGGTCCAAATGAGCATCGGCTGCAGCGGCCGATTGCGGTTGCGCTTGTGGCTGTGTCAGCCCTTTGAACTGGTTCATGCTATTGCTGTAGCCTTGCAACAATTGATTCAGCAACGGCACCTGTTGCGATTGTGCCTGCAATAGTTTGAGGGCGTTGAATGCCTGCATATTTTGTAACTTCGACAATTCCAAATCCACAGCTGTGAGCGCATCGAAATTCTGCAACTGCTGCTCATCGAACAAATTTGTGGTGAAGCCAGACATATTGTTGGCATTCCCGAGACTGCTGAGTGAGGTAGTAGATGTCTGCTGCTGCTGCTGCTGTTGCTGCTGTTGTCCGAGCGAAAACTGCTGGTCGATTTGCAGTGGTGATAGAAGATGTTGCGGCTGCTGCGAAGACAGCTGGGAGAGTTGGTGCTGGGAAGCGGAAGAAGACAATTGCGATGGCAAATGCTGCTGTTGGTGCAATGGAATCTGCGTCTCATTATCAGCTACAGAGAGCAAATTCTATTTTCGGAAGAAGAATGTTTATTTAATAATTAGGTGCCCATGTGTATGTAAGGCAATTAGCGCCTTCACGCAACCCGGTGCACAGTGGTGCAAACGCGAAATTTACTATTCCAAGAAGCCCACATACACCCTACAACTTTTGCTGGATTTAACATTTTTTTTAATGGAAATATAATGAAAGTCTTAAGAAGTTTAAGGCATCCACGCAACTGAGCGATTCCGTCGGAGAGGATCCGCTTCGTTTGATGCTATGGAGCTTATATTTCGAGAACGCAAGGACGCACACATCTGTGCGATTCTATCGCAGTGAAAAATATCATTATATAAAAACAAAAAAAAAAATAGTTTTCAACAAAAAATTAAATTCCTAGTATTTTTAAAATAAACATGCTTTGGTTTTGGCAAGTTGATTTTTATTTTAAACTTTTACGTTCTCAAAACACAGCAGTCTGCGATTTCGGCACCACGAAAAGAAGAACTGTGATTGTTCCTATAAATCGCTCCAGCAAAATCGTATAACTGTGTGGTTCCTCATTTAAAACCATGGTCAGCATTGTTGTAATTTTTGTAGGGACATATTCGCACCGACAGAATCGCATGGGTGTATGGATACCTTAAAGGAGCTATTTTTAATTTCATTTTTTTTAAGGAAAAAATATTCAATTTTTTAAGAAAAATGATGAGAAAGTAACAGTTTTGAAGAAAATCGATTTNTTTTTGGCAAGTTAATTTTTGTTTTAACCTTTTACGTTCTCAAAACACAGCAGTATGCGATTTCGGCACCACGAAAAGAAGAACTGTGAATGTTCCAATAAATCGCTCCAGCAAAATCGTATAACTGTGTGGTTCCTCATTTAAAACTATGGTCAGCATTGTTGTAATTTTTGTAGGGACAGATTCGCACCGACAGAATCGCATGGGTGTATGGATACCTTAAAGTAGCTTTTTTTTTTTTTTATTTAATTTCATTTTTTTAAGGAAAAAATATTCAATTTTTTTAAGAAAAATGATGAGAAAGTAACAGTTTTGAAGAAAATCGATTTTTCAGCTCCTGTTAATGAATACTAAATATGTATTTATATAAAGAAAAATTTGTTGAAAACAATTATAGGTTTCCCTTGAACCGTGAAAAATTGCACAAGAAAAGTTTGAAAAGTTATAAACAAGTTTTCACGACAATTAACAATTTTTTGAATTTTTAGAAAAGTTTTGGTATGCAAGCCTATTAAATTTTAATGTAGTAAACTGCAAGTTTTAAGTGGTTAAAAAATTGTGTTGATTGTCAAAAAAAATAAAAATTTCTAACAATTCGAGCACATTTTACGTACTTATGTGGGAGAAAATGACTGGCACGCCGGCAAAAATATATTTGTATATTAAAAATCAACGTGAATTCTTATTATACTAAAATTGAATAGGCTATGCAAATGTATACCTAAATTTTTTCCTGATTTAAAACGCCATTTTTAAGTTTTGTTGAAAATTTTTTATAGCATTTCAAATTTTTTATGTATTTTTTTGTTTTGTTTTAGGCCAACCTTTTTAACTGTTTTTAATTACTTTTTATTGTGCAGCANTGTGAAAAATTGCACAAGAAAAGTTTGAAAAGTTATAAACAAGTTTTCACCACAATTCACAATTTTTTGAATTTTCACAAAAAGTTTAGGTATGCAGTTTTATAGCCTATTAAATTTTAATGTAGTAAAGTGCAAGTTTTTAGTGGTTATGAAATTGCGTAGATTTTCAAAAAAAAAAAAAAAAAAAAAA